CCCCTGAAGGTTGGGCCGCCCCGGGCTGCGCGGAGCTCGGGGGCCCTCGGCGCCCGGCTGTGCAGAACCAAGTGAACGGGACCCCCGGTCGCCCCTCCGGGACCTAGGGGTTGCCGGAACGGCGGGAGCTTCCGGACACTCGCCGAGGTTGGCTGGACAAATGGGCGTGTGATGGGCAGGGCGAGCAGTAGCGTGTTGTGCCTCTGACAGACACATTTTTATTGGCGATATCCTTGTATACTATAAAATGCATGCTTTGGAAGTACCATTAAAGTACAGCTTACTAGCTTTTAAGTCTGTTCACAGGATCGTGCCACCTTACAGCAACCCCACAACATTTTTACCTCCTCGGGAGAGATCCGTACCCATTAGCAGTCGCTCCTACTCCCTCCTTCACTCCCCGCACCCATCAGTCTATTTTCTGCCTTGGCGGATTTGCTTGAGTCATTGGGTGTTAGCTGAAGGGTGAAAAGGGGCCAAAGTGGGGTTTGAGGGAAGTGGAGTGATAGACTGAACTACAGCGAGGGGGTGATTGCAATAGGGCTAGCAAAGACTGGCTGGGGGCAGAGGGCGTGGGAGCCTTGGAGGTCTAGAGAGGAGATGCTGGACAGGAGGATGAGAAGATGCGAGGGGAGGTGGTGGGGAGCCTTGCCAGAACCAGATGCTTATGCCTGAGTTGAGGGCTCGCTCAGTCGAGGAAGACAGTCTGTCAAATAGGTGAGTGGTAGCTGCAGAGGATGAAGCTCATGGGTTTCTAGAACTCCTGTTCTGCTCTGGAGTTTTCATTTTAGACCATCTTCTTGGCAACTCAGAGACACTGGGGCAAGGGTGAATAGCCTCATCTGGAAGATGAGGAGCTGGCATTCTAGAGGTTGGGGGACTTGGTTAAAGCTCATAAAGTTAGTAAGTAGGGCAGGAGCTGAGACTGAAGTATAATGGATGAAACCAGAAGTTGCCAGGTTATTAAGAAACAGAATTGAGCTAGGATAATGTTAATAGGAAGAGGATCGAGCTGTTGAGAAGTCTGTCTGTGTTGGCCTAGTAGTGGTGGTGGCGGCGGTGGCGGTGGCGGTGGCGGTGGCGGTGGCGGTGGCGGCGGCGGCGGCGGCGGCGGCGGCGGCGGCGGCGGCGCACGCCTTTTATCCCAGCACTGGGAGGCAGAGACAGGTGGACCTTTGTGAGTTCGAGGCCAGCCTGGGCTACAGAGAGAGTTCCAGGACAGCGAGGGCTACATAGAGAAACCCTGTCTTGATAAACCAAAAAGAGTCTGTGTTATAACGTGTATGTTAAGCAGTTTTTGTTGTTCGTTTTGGTCAAGGTCTTGTTGCTTTGTGGAAAGGTTGTGACAAAAGTCTTGATCAGTGGCTCTCACCCTTCCTGACACTGACCCTTCAATAAGTTCCTCATGTAGTGGTGACCCTCAACCATAAAGTTATTTTCACTGCTGCTTCCTAACTGTCATTTTGCTACTATTAGGAATCATAATGTACAGGCAGTTGTGGTGTATACCTTTAATTCCAGCACCTGGGAGGCAGAGGCAGACAGATATCTGTGAGTTCAAGGCCAGCCTGGACTACAGAGTGAGTCCAGGAAAGGTGCAAAGCTGCACAGAGAAACCCTGTTTCGAAAAACAAAACAAAACAAAACAAAAGTAACACATTTAGGGGTGGGGATTTAGCTCAGTGGTAGAGCGCTTGCCTAGCAAGTGCAAGGCCCTGGGTTCGGTCCTTTGGGGGGGATCATAATGTAAATACCTGTGTTTTCCAGTGGCCTTAGGTGACCCCTGTGAAAGGGTCATTTGGCCCCCAAAGGGATTGGGACCCACAAGTTGAGAGACACTGGAGTTGTATAACTCAGTGGTAGAATCCTCGCCTGGCATATACAAGGCCCTGAGTTTGATCTTTAGCATCATGAGGAAGAAAAAAAGAACAAATATTGAACTAAGATAATGTATTCTTTTTTTTTTTAAATTTATTTATTATGTATACAGTGCTCTGTCTGCATGCATGCCTGCAGGCCAAAAGAAGGTGCCAGTTCTTGTTACAGATGGTTGTGAGCCACCCTGTGGTTGCTGGGAATTGAACTCAGGACCCCTGGAAGAACAGCCAGTGCTCTTAACTGCTGAGCCATCTCTCCAGCCCCTAAGATATGTATTCTTACATACCATTACCAGCTCTGACAATGCCAGTAATTGTAAGTGTAGCATTACTCTTCTTTTAATATTGATTTAATACTATGAGCATACTTATAATATTGACTTCTCAATGTCATCAATATCTAGAAGGACATTATTTTTAAGAGTTGGCATCTTTTTAGATTTTATTTGCTTTTGTAGAAGGATGGTTTCTTGAGTGCACTGCAAGGGGGCACTGGGTTGGGCAAGAACTGCAGTACTTCTGTCTTTGGATCCATCTGATAGGAGGCGACTGGGCAGTACAAACACATCCATGTTTCACTTGATGAAATGTTGTAGTATCATTCCACATTGGAACATGGAATTTGGGGTGACCTCAATCTGTGTTCCCAGGCCTTGGTCACTCAAATGGCTTCAGAATATTCCTTAAATAACAAAAAACCAGAGTGCCTCCTGCTTCTCCAGTAGTTCCTGCTACTCCTCAGTTCCACTTTTAACAATCAGTATGGCTCGTTCTTTGTAAAACAGTGAAATGTTGTTAACATTGACTATCTTTTTTGTTTGTTTGTTTTTCCCCCAAAACAGGATTTCTCTGTTGTAGCCCTGGCTGTCCTAGAACTTGGTCTGTAGACCAGGCTCAGAGATCCATCTGCCTCTGTCCGAAAGTGCTGGGGTTAAAAACAACGCCTTCACATAAAGATCCATGTGATTGGATCAGTTTCATAGGGATAATCCAGGTTAATTTCAAATAGTGTGTGGAGCGGTAACGCCTGCGTTACCGATACCTGTTCACCATGTCCGAGTGAGGGGCTGTGGATTAAAAAATAAGAGACAAGAGACAGCAAGTCATTCACCACGGCTGAAATGCCGAATGCCAAATGTTTAGGAATTGCCACAGGGGCAGGCAAGCCAGGCTGTGTTGCTCCCATGAGAAGCATGGTTTTATTTACAGTTCTAAGATCCTGTAATAGCCTCCATTTTCCTGACTTCTTTTTTTTTTTTTCTTCGAGACAAGGTTTCTCTGTGTAGCTTTGCGCCTTTCCTGGAGCTCACTT